CCGAGCAAAAGTTTCATCGTCGTTGATTTGCCGGAACCATTTGGTCCGAGCAAGCCAAAGATCTCGCCACGACGCACTTCCAAGTCGAGTGCTTTGAGGGCTCGAACTTTCTGGCGTCCCCAGAAGTCGCGATAAATCTTGGTCAGATTACGCGTTTCGATGATGACTTCGTTGTCGGATGAGGAAGCAGACGATTGCGGTTGAGTTTCTACCGATGCCATGGAACCTGTTTCAAGCCACGGTGGTGCTTATGGGAAGAAGAAATAGATGAGCAGGAAATGATTTAGGGCGTGCTGCCGAATAGGTGGTTCGCCCGATATTCCCTGTTTACGCAGCTCAGCCAGCTTGGTTCGGCTAGCTTAGACTGCTTTTCTAACTCCTTCTGCCGAGTGGAGAACGACTAAGGGAAAAGTTCGACTATAAATCCACCGCAGCCCAGTGACAAGGAACCAAACCGTGACAGGGTCCCGACTTCATACGATCTTCCTTGGTTATTGTCCCCATTCTACCGCTTATAGGGGCAAGCCACCGTATTAGGGGCGGTCGATTGCCTATGCAGATAGATGCCCAAAAAAAGTTTTCAGGGGTTTAGGGGGGGATTCCCCTCGACGGACTGGCATTTGGACTGAGACTAGGTATCATAATGACCAGCTTTGTTGGCCTATCAAGTTCTCAACCTCCCTTGATCCCTTATAGAGAAGGCCCCCCGCCGATGAAAAGAAGAGGCTTTACCCTCGTCGAACTCTTGGTCGTAATCGCGATCATTGGTGTCTTAATCGCCCTGCTTTTGCCCGCCGTTCAACAGGCACGCGAAGCAGCCCGCCGGATGCAGTGTACCAATCAGCTGAAGCAATGGGTTCTCGCAACTCATAACTATCACGACACTTACACAAGATTCCCAACAAGTTGGCAAGGGGGTTCCAATCAATGGTCCGCCCAGGCACGCTTGCTGCCGTATCTCGAGCAAAAAGCGCTTGAATCGGAAATCGATTACGCCGTCGATTACTCAAATTACCACTCCGATACCAACCGGTTTATCAATGGAGTGCCACTTCCGGCGATTCGCGTTGATCTGTTGCTTTGCCCTTCCGAGGTGAAGGATCAATTGCGACTCAGCAGTGGCAACCCATATCACTACCCATTGAATTACGTGATCAACATGGGCGTGTGGTATGTCTACAACGGCAGCAATGGCGGGAACGGTGCGTTTGTGCCGACGAAGTATCTTCGCATGGCCGACATGACCGACGGGACGACGAACGTGATGGCGTTCAGCGAAGCCAAAGCGTACACCGACTACGATCGCGAGAGCAGCGAATATGGCACCGCGGAAATCAACAGTTTCCCCGATGTCGCTGGCTATATCCAAAGCAATGTCGTCGAGGGAGCGCGAACTTCCGGCCATACCGAATGGGTCGACGGCAAAACGCATCAGACTGGTTTTACCGCCTTTTTCACGCCTAATACCGACTTTGTTCCCAGCGGCGGAACGCGTGCCATTCCGATCGATTTCACCAATAATCGAGAGAGTGTCGGTGCTTCGACGTTGTCCACCAATCCAACCCTCGCGGCGGTAACCGCTCGAAGCTTTCACCCTGGTGTGGTGAACGTGGCATTCATGGATGGATCGGTATCTCGGGTCACCGACACGGTCGATCTGGGTACCTACCGCGCGATCGCAACTCGCAACGGCGGCGAAGTCATCAATCGAGGCGATCTCTAAACCGAGCTCGTTGAGATCGATTCTGAATCTAAACATCAAGAACGCCACGCAGAGAAGGCTCTGACGTGGCGTTTTTTTTTGGCTCGACTAATCCAGGGCGCATTTAACCTGAAAATCGATCGCGAAATCCTCGGTTTCTGGCAGCCAAGCGGTTATCATGCAACCTAAATCGGTGCGAAATTGAAATTTCTGTGAGGGGTGGTCGTGGAAGAGCTTGTCGACTCGGAACTTGTTCAAGCAGAGAACCCGTACATCACCAACGAAGACCAACCGCGACGATCGCCGTGGAAAATGCCACTGATCATCGCGGGCGTCATTGCGTTTGTGGTGGTCGCGGTGATCGTGATTCGCAACGGAACACAAGAAGATGCCAACCGAGCGGCCGATTTAGTTCGCCAACATCCGATCGTCATCGAGCAGTTGGGCGGAATCGACCAGTGCTCGCACAACTTTTTCGCGAGCCTCAACGAAGGGGGCAAGCGGACCGACGTTTTGGACGTGAAAGGGCCCAAAGGCTCCGGAAGGCTGATTACCTTCGAACTCTTCTTCAAATATCGCTCGATCGTGCTGCAAACCGACGAAGGCGAATGGGAACTGATCGAAGGGGATACCGACCCATAGGCCCGGTTTTGACGATTTCCTTGCCCAGGAAAACGAAACCTTTGGCCTGCTTCCGGCAATAAATTACTTAATAAACGTGGTGGGCTCGCTTAGAATTGCCTATACCTACACATGGGGAGATTTTTTAAAAGGCTTCCCAGAATCCCGCCTTATCTTTCTCCGAGGTTGTCGCGAATGAAACGCCGTCACGGTTTCACGCTCGTTGAATTGTTGGTGGTCATCGCCATCATTGGGGTCTTGGTCGGGCTACTGATGCCGGCCGTGCAGCAAGCTCGCGAGTCCGCTCGGCGAATGCAGTGCTCCAACAATTTGCATCAGTTGGCCGTGGCGATGCACGTTTATCACGAAACCCACGATGCATTCCCCGCCGCGGGGGATGCCGGAGGGCAATGGTCTGGCCTGGCTCGACTGCTGCCGTTTCTCGAACAAGGGCCACTGGAAGCAGCCATCGACTGGGGAACTTCCTACACCGCCTATCAGTCCAACGGAGCCCAGGCCAACATTTTGAATGTCGGCGTACCACTTCCGGCCGTGGAACTCGATATGTTTAAGTGCCCATCGGAAATTAACTTACGTGCGATCGACGTCACCGGAGACGGTACGCCCGATCACTTTCCGTCGAACTATGCCCTCTCGCACGGCACGTTTATGGTTTATGACGGTTCGCAGTCAGGCGACGGCGCCTTTGGAGCGAACCGCTATACCCGCATCGCGGAATTCGCCGACGGCACAAGCAACACCATGGCCATTTCCGAGGTGAATACGTACACGCGGTTCTATTCCGGCTCGGAGTACGACAACTCGTCCGGCGTGCCGAGCCTTTCCGACGTGGCGAACATTATCAACACGAACGTCACCGCAGGGACGGCGCCTGCTGGTCACTCGCAATGGGTCAGCGGCAACGTCCATCAAACCGGTTACACGGCCTTCTTCACGCCGAACACCATCTTCAATATCGATGGTCAATTGCAGCCTGCCGACTTCGTGAACAACTCGGAAGGGGCTGGCGA